ACCCTGTTCGACACACTGGAAATTTCCACAACGTTGTCAGATAGGGACTTATTTACCAGAAACCCAACCCCACCTTGGGATTGTTGGTCTCCCTCGCGGAAGTACATTAGGTGGCCTGACTCGAGGGTTATGGTGTCCTCCCCCTCTCTTCGGACTTCACATAGCCCTAGGATATGCCACCTAATCTTCCCAAGTTCCACCTCAAGTTGCGCCAGATGCGAGTCTAGCCGTAGCGTGCGTCCGTTGTACGTAGCCAGGGTCAGTCGGTTGTGGTGGCCTCCCGTAGCCCGGAGATTCTTCGCACCCCCTGCCCCGCCTTTACCGTGGTCGCCACCATGACCAGGAATAGCGGGGCCGCCGGGAACTGGGGGCCGTGGCCTTTGTTGCGTCTGCATGGGAGGGGTTTGCCCATAATCGCCACGCTGGGCAGGCGGGTTGGCGATCGCAGGGCGTAGCTTGTCGCACCGGTAACGCTGCTGCCCGTCACCGGCCTGTTGTATTTAGCTACGCCTATTGGGATGGATATACCGCCATCGGTCGGTCGCCAGAGCCTCGTTCGTCGTTCAGCAGGATGCACCGCGGGCAGGTGAGGTTGGCTTGGGGCGAAAGATGGTGGTTCGCCCCTCACACCCCTTTCATCATCCCCCTCACACCCCAATCATTTTTACAACCCCTCAATGTTATAATACATTAGCATTCTTTATATGATAGAGAACGTGTCCTATAATTTGTTTTTCAAAGACGTCAGCGTTATAAATATTTATGCCGCTGCAAAATAACCGCTTTCTAGTGCTAACTGTTTTTAAGCCAAGCCGCCGACAGACAAACAGACAACAAGACAGGGTTTCTTGTTAGGACTACGAAACCAAGTTATTTTCGTAAGTATATTTGACAAGACCTTTTTATTATAAATAACATGATTTTAAGAAGTTATAGATTCAGATCAAGTAGGCTTTGAACTTTTCACTATTTATTTTCTGAAGTTATTATTATTAATAATAATAGTATATTTAGTATTATAATAGACGATAAATACTCAATTTTTATATTTCTATTAAAAGTTCATGTTAAAGATCTCTAGTTCAGTGGACGATTACAAACATGTTTCGTTTATATTACATAACATGTTCTACTGTGGCTCGCCGCATCCCACTTACGAGTAGGAGTAGGAGTATAAACGAACGGATCAAAGCTGTATGTAGGCGTAGAAAGAGACAACACATATCTATAAAGATAATCTGACTCACTACAGCTTTTTAATATCCCGCCGAGACGAACCGACGGACATACAAATGTTTTTGAAATATAAGTGAAAATTTATGTCTATAGCTTGTCGCCGTTCAAATATTTCTTTTTTCAACAAACGAGCTGACGGGTTACCTGATGGAAAGCGACTACCGCCGCCCATGAACGAACGCAACTAAGGAGTCACAAGCGCGTTGCCGGCCTTTGAGGAAGGAGTACGCTCTTATCTTGAAGGTTTGAAGGTCGTATCGGTCTGGCCCCAGCCGATAACTTGTTCCACAGATTGGTAGTGCCAGGCAAAAAGTGTCTTGAAAAGAGTACAGTGGTGGAGCGCCAATTATGCAAGTGGTGGGGATGAAAATTTTACCGTGGGGAAAGATGGCGGAATATTTTTATTATTATTACATACTGGCACACATTAAAACAATGTTATGTATATTTAATAATGCCATTGTATGTATCTCTTAATTTAATAAAAATGATCGTGAGTTTGTTTGCCCTTTCTTCTCATGAGGCTCAACCCCTTGGAAATTTTCGGTTGTAGATCTTGAACTTGTCTTGCAGGTGATGCAATATGACAAATCCTACTGTGAACACACACGTAATTAAATTAAAAAATAAAACTCTTCACTGTGTCAAAAAGACCGGCCACATAAAATACTTCCACTCAATGATATACTTGAAAATGCTTTCTCGATCAGTAAGAATACCGTAGAAGTAATTCGTTTTTTTCCTAGATCTGCTAACATCACCAACAAAATGGGAGATTATCCGGAATTACATTTAGTTAATAATCTCAAATAAAATGATCAGTCCATTGAGATCAGTCAGATCAATGATTCAGTGTCCAGTTGAGCGATCTGAATGATCGCTCTACTGGACACAGCAGTTTCTTGCATTTTTCTGATTAAGGAGTCATAATCATAGTCCCTTAGCCTCCAATATCATAGTTCTTGGGTGGGCCGTCTCAATAGGAGAGATACCACGACCTCACAGAAAACCGGTGTTAAATTTAATTACTTTCATCGAGTGAGTGAGGTCAACAGCACTCCAAAACTCCTCTCACCCTTATGAGAAGGGGGTCAAAGGGTATGTATCCATGTAGAGTCACCACCCCTATTTATCCCGTCGGTGTAGTAAGAGCCGACTAAGAGCGAAAACTTCGCAGCACAACAGCACTGCAAAGAAAAGGAAAACTTGACACAAATCTACTACCAACCCTGGCCAGCGTGGTATAGTAGGCCAAAAACTCCTTTCTAAGGAGAGGCCTTTTGTTTGAAATCCCCTCGGATACCACCTGTCGGTGGCATGTCGGACTCGAACCGACTAAAACCGCACGCCGTCGCGGGTATTAATAGCCGGGGAACCAGGTATCTAGAAAGGAAGTCCCTGGTACCCCGACATACCTCGGGTCATCTACAGACGAGTAGACGACCCCCCGTGTGGGAACCCCATGTTCCCGGTGCTCCCTGGAAGCGAGCGCGCTTCGTAACGCTCTTGCCGCCACCCCAGCCTGCTTCTGCTAGGGTGACAGATGGCCTCACCTGTCACCCCCAGGCCTGCGCTTATGGAGGACGGAGGTCGTTCTGCGACCTCCGGCACCTGAGTCGCCTGCGGTACCTGGCCCGCTCCCGGGCCTGGCGGGCCGGGAGAGTCCTAAACCTCTCCCGGTCCCGCTCCGCCGTCTCCTTCGCGAGCATAACTTGCTCGCAGAAGGAGACGGCAGAGTTCCACGCACTCTCGCTCCGCACGATAGTAGCAATCAGGCTATCGAGCGAGAGAACTCACACTCCGATGGCCGCCACGAGGTCTCGCCTCTGCTCAACCCACGCCGGGCACTCTGCCAACGTGTGGAGAGCCGTGTCCACGGTCTGGCCATCGCAGTGGTGGCACTCAGGCGTTGGCTCCTTGCGGATCAGACACAGGTGATCCCCGAAACATCCTTTCCCAGTAATCACCTGCGTCAGTCGGTATGAGAGGGTCCGGTGACGCCTCTCGAGCCAATCCTCCATAACGGGTCTTACCGCCGCGATCTAAGGAGAGGCCTGTGTCCAGCAGTGGACTATTAAAGGCTGTTGATGATGATGATGAATGTGAAATGTCATCTAAGTATATGTGAATCTTAGTTGCACATGTCAATGAGCGCTGGTAGTCACTTACGCTCCGCTGACCCGTCAGCTCGTTCGTCCCCTATACCATAACCACTTATAACACTTAAGCGTAAGTTTATTCATTAGGACTACTCACCATATTCAAGTTGACTCTAGTACGTACATCTCATCTGACTTACGACCAAACTAATGTTAATTTTATTATTCTATAAAACATCTTAACACCAGACTTTTAAGATAATACTGCGAAACTTGAACTACACCTTATTTTTAAGGAATATTCCTCTTTTTTCCCTACAGAAATTCCCTCAGATACCGCCCACCGAACGACCGATGGGACGGTAACCAGGGAACTACTAAAATGAAACTACTACTAGCCGGGGAACCAGGTTCCCGGATCATTTACGGCTTTTAGATAACCCCCTATGCCCCTACGCGCACATTACGTCGAGCCACCACCCCTGCTGGAGTGACGGGTGCCTTCACCTGTTACCTTAAACCCTGTGCCTATGGAGAACAAAGGTCGTTCAGCGACTGAGTCGCCTGCAGTATCTAACCCATTCCCGGGCCTGGCACAACGGGAGAGGAATATTCCTCTGTATAGAAGCTTACTGAAAAAACATGATTTTTTTTTTTAATAAAATATATCCTATGTAACATAATGATACTTGTAGGGCAGGCGAGAATTTATTAGAAATATTTCGTGACATTTATGCGAACACTTATTGAGATACTTTACGGTTCTTTTACACTCTTACGAAGATACATTTAGGAGTCATAAAATCAACTTGCCATAGTAACTGGCAGTTAACTTGAACATAAATTTATTTGATTTAAATTTACTGCATAATATTTAGAAAAGTATCTGTAAGTATGTGTAAAGTATCAGTAATGGAAATCAAAATAAAAAAAAAAAACAGGAAACCGTAAAATGAATTTACAGTTACTTTCGATACATTTTAAAATGTGTCTATTAAAAATTCTAAAATTCTTTATTAAAAATATAAACGGTGATGTCTTAGTTGCCTTTCCCATCACATAACGGTTTATCCGTATTATTAGTCCCGTTTCCCATTTGAGTCTTACGATATCCCTAGCTCTATCTGTTTTCCCTACCCTCAATTTGCCCACTTCCGTACCTGTACACTCGGGAAATGATTACGGTGACAAACATTCGGCATGTACAAAACGAAAACAGAACTAAAACTCTTGACAATGCTTACAACCAATTATAAGACACATTACGCCAATTATAATTGAGAAAAGGGTAGAAAATAGCAATACACTTTAAAAAAAGATCTGAGTTGACCTTTATGTGTTATGTTGAAGACCCAACGATACATCAAATAGAAATTACAGTACCATAGCTTTCCTGACAAAGAAATATTACAGTACGTGAATGTGATTTGTTTGTTTCTTTGTTAAGTTTTCGCCTTACTAAACTGCTCAATGAAAAATTCGACATCGATTGAAATTGTTTCTGAGGGATACCTGAAATAATTGGCATAAGGTGAATTGATGCAAACGAATCCGCATGCTAAACATATATACACTCACGCTGCTATTTCTGAAGGTGTAAGCAGAGGCTGCTTAACCTAGTATACTATAAGGGTGTGGTGTGATGACGTCGCGCGTTATGTGCAGGGCAGCTGTTGCTGGGCAGACGGCGCCGGGCGCTGCGTCCGACTGACAGACACCTCGCTCCTCACGCTCAGCGAGGTGGAGCGGAGAGCGCTTCAGCAGGCCGCCCTCGCTAGGCTCCAGCAGATCAACCTCGGCACTGCCATCAAGATACCAGAAGGTTTGTTATATTTATTTATCATTATTATTAGTTCTTACAGAAGGATGCGTGCAATCCTATTATAGTGTGCTTGTATAGTCAAAAAATAGTTGGGTACCTGATTTAGGTGTTTTAATAAGAAATCATAATTTCACCTCTTTTTTTTACGTGTGGAAACCTCCTTGGACCGTCACCCCATCGGGGTTTGCGGGTCGGTGTGTCGGAATCGGACCGACAAAAACCACACGGTGTGCCACTCTGCGCCTGTAATAGCAGGGATCCAGGAACCGCTGTTATTAAGACATCCGGATCCCTCCTAGCGCCTGCCCACCAGCGGGCACCACCTTCGGGTACATTCTCTATTTAGGTGACGTCCGAATCATAATTTCACCTAAGTCAACATTATTTTAAGATTTGTTTTAAACTGATTGTTTTTAAATTACATATCAAAATTGAAATCATTTTAGAATATGGTTCGGTAGGTTATGTTTTTTTTTTTTATAACTTTTATTGACAAGTTTCTTCGCTGAACAGTTAGACTATCGATTAGAGTAGGTACATGCGAAAAGCTTACACCAGGTGTACGAATGTGTTATGATTTCGATAGACAGTTGATATTCCTGTCTTAACAGTTGGCAATTTCATGGCCGAGTCCTCAAGGCATCTCCAATAACAGGATGTATTTTCAATCTCTTCGAGCTATTGCAGTAGTACTGAAGCTTATGACATGTCTTCCCCTAAATCCTTTAGTCTAGTCTTGCTCCTACCTCAGTTTATCTGAAAACGATTGCATGCCCAAGGAGATCAAGCAGGCCGCCTACCGTAATATAAACCAACTTGAACTTTTTGCAAAGTAAGACGTTATATGAGGATTTATCCTCCGCCAATAAGAAATTGTAAAAGTAGTACGACATTCAGGATTAAATTCAAAAGTTATCTGCTGTCGCATCAAAAAGAATTTGGGAGTGTCTAAATTTCAACATCTGCCATTTAAATATTATATTGTTGCTATTTAATTTCCTTGTTGAGCACCGATAGTCGCAATGTTTTTTTTTGTTTTTATTGCATTTTTTCCCAATTTACTTATTTTGGGTACCAATTTTTTAGTGTAGTTTTTTTTCCCTTCCTTATTCTGTGATATTGATGCATCGCAAAAACATATTTATACACACACGTACAAAATCATACATTTGAATGGTTTCGAGCTGACAACACCCAGTCATATGGGTTGCAGCTGAAAACCAGCGTTGGAAGGCACCTGTGGCCATCCAACAGTAGGTATGCTGAGCTGCAGACCTATTGGCACTTCTTGTAAGGAATTTTGCATGTGCCAATAAATTTTCTTTCATTTATAATATGACACACTAATTGCCAGCAATAATAATTTCCTAAATAATCAAGATAAAAGTAATAATATAACCTCACACATCTCACACAAGGCCGTCTGATCCTAAACGAGGCAGAGCCTGTACTATGGTAACCAGACTGCTGATAAACATACTTATATATTTCTAAATAAATACACATTATATGTAAATAAACAAGTGACCGTGCTCATCACACTATTATTTGTCCTGGGTGGGAATCGAACCCACGACCTCTGACTTCGAATAAAATCAAACTGAATTGACTTTCAGAAAGAGTGTCACCAACTCAAATCATAATATATTGTAGTAAGTTGTATTTTTCATACTCTAATATTCCTTTAAGAAATTAATTAATCTATTTATTTAAGTGCCTTGGTATTTGTTCTGGTCTAGTGGTTAGTGACCATGACTACTAAGCCTGAGAACGTGGGTTATATTCCCACCTAGGACAAATTATTATGTGATGAGCACAAGCATTTGCTCTGTGTCTGTCTGTCTATTTATAATATGTATATATTTAAACGTACATTCTTATATTTATCAGCACTTTAGACATCATAGTATAGGCTTTGCCTAATTTGGGATCAGACAGCCGTGTGTGCGATGTTTCAGATTATTATTATAACGCTGTGTAGTAATAATTATATTTTACTATGTCAGCTTTTTATATTAATAGTTTAACATGAAAGCGTTGACTTTCGTCTGTCGTATAAACAAATATATAAATTGACCAATCTGTATGAAATATATCAATATGTCAGCAGTTATTTTCGACTGGTCTGTCGGACCAGCCGTCTATTCACCTGAGGAGTAACGAAGTGCTAAATGAATGAGAGACGAGGCTATTAGAAGCTGAGTGATATGCGTTAGTGGACAGTTAAGAGGAAAATATATTACAATGTTAGGCCTAATATATAATATCCGTCTTATTTAGTGATGATGAGTATCTTTTACTGTAATGAGGAAAGTTAAGTTATAGGATTTGCGGTCAAGTGTTTACGGGTTCAAACCCTGTACCAATTGATATCGGTATATTTCCACATTTAGACTCAAAGATGGTTCATTATTGCGTTCTCATATGGCTGAGTTGTTTCCTCCTTTCAGAAATACAGATGACTCCTAGGTGGTCGCAGGCTTTTTCTTCGTTCTATCTTCTTCTCGCATCCGCAGAGATAGTTGTCCATTATAATAATATTCCCACTACCCATCACCGTGCGCTCCAAGAAAGCGTGGACAGTTGTATTCTGCATATTCCCTGCTTAGAGCGCTGTCGCATCATTGTCAATTGCCTATCATACCTACAACTATTCAGATCTCTGGTTCTTGAAACTGAACAGTCTGCAAATTGAAAAAACCCTACTGAGCTTTGTGCATTTTGATATATTTTACATGTTCATGTTCAAATTACTGCTGAATAATTATCTACTTTTAGACCATTCGCGTTAAGAAAATAGTGACGCATCGATCAAGCCCCCGTACCCTGACCAATCAGGTTCTAAACTTTTATTCGAAAGAATAATTTCTAGCAACTTGATTGGTCAACAGGTGTGGCTTGATCATTGCGTCACTATTTTCTTAAAGCGAATGTACTATACGGAAGTATGAATACTCTATATTGGCTGCATGGTTTGTTACCAAAACAATGGATTTATTACGATGGACAAGATTGCATTTAGCAATAATCAATTTTAAGGGCGGTCACCTTAGTTAAATATTTAATTAAAAATTTGTACGTGTCCATTAGACCCATTTATGAAAATAAATGGTAATGGAATGATGCATACTAGAACTTTTTAACTTGATGATGATGATAATGAATAAAATCTAGTGAAGAAAGTTTTATGTATGGAAGTTCACGGATATACAAGTAGAGAACGACCAAAGAAATAGATGGACTACATGCCAGAGGATACGGCTAGAAAGGGAGTAGTAAGCAGTGATGGAAGAATAAAACTCAGATGATGATGATGTACCAAACACCCAATTCTTTTTTTCTTTCTAGACTTTCATTTTTAAGAATGCCGTTCTAAAGTAGGAAAAAAGTTCTAACTCTATCGTATAGAATATGAGTTTAGCTGATCAAAAGTATGAGAGGTGCGTGATGGCATGGCGGCGTTGTGAAACTTGGTCGGATGCCAGAGCTTGTTTGTTGATCCCACTTTACAGCGCCGATGTTCGATAACTAGATAATTCAGATAGAAAACAACTATATAACATTGTTTTTAACATACCACTGATTAGTTAATTTTAGTAAAAAATTTATTAAATCTAGACTTACCCACGCAAATTTTTTTTGCAAAATATACTGGAGATGTTTGGTATAGACACGTGTATATGTATCACGTCCTACTAGTGTACGGATGATTTAATAAAATAGAACGTAAAAGCACAGTAAAGATTGTTTGTTACTAAATTTATTATAGTTTAAAAAAACAAAAATACTTTTTGTAACTAGCCGAATTTCTTCTCTAATTGAATTCGGTTATGACTAGTGCGTGTCCGTGTGGTGACGGATTAAGAATACAGAGTACAGCCTTTAATAGTCCACTGCTGGACATAGGCCTCTCCTTAAAAGGAGGTTTTGGCCTACTATACCACGCTGGCCAGACGTTTTGGTATAGATTTTGTGTCAAGTTTTCCTTCTTTCTGCAGTGCTGTTGTCCTACGTAGTTTGCTCCCTTAGTCGGCTCTTACGACACCCAGGGGATGAATAAGGGTGGCGACACTCTGTATTCTTAATCCGTCACCACATGGACACCACAGTCACACTTAATTGTTCGTAAAATTTATAAAATTAAAGACCTGTATTCAGCTTTCTAATACTATTCTACCGTTAATCTTTTTGGCTTCATTTTTTTTTAGATTAGGCTGAACATCCAAAGAACGAATGAATAAATAAATTAATAAAAAGTAGAAAAGAATTTTCTATAAGTTCAAAAAGAAAAATAATTTTCAAAAAGCGTGTTTTTTTAGTTTTTTAAATTTTAATTTATTTTTGCTGTTTTAGTCATTAATGACGATTATTGTCATATTAAGATTAAAAAAGGTACAAGTAAGTAAGCCACATATACTTCAGTACACGCCTTTGTACATGGCACAAGACACCACCGTATTTTTAGATGTGGAAAAACCCATTAATCCTGAAGATCCCGATAAGGATAATCGTTTTTTTTTTATTTATTGTATTGTCATCGGTCTTTGATAAGTGTATAGATAGTGCAACTCAGTTGTGCGCGCGGCCCTATGTGTGCGTGGGCTTGTAAATATACAACTTGCATTCGTGTGGCAGTGACGCGGCAGTCGGACGACGACTGCCACACGAATGAAAGTTGTATATTTACAAGCCCACGCACACATAGGGCCGCGCGCACAACTGAGTTGAACTATCTATACTAAGTTTGAATTCAATCCATTGACAATGACATTTCAAAGTGGGTGAAAATCCCGCTCAAGGATTCTGTTACATACATACGTAGACCATCTATATCAAGATAATAAAAGCGTCTTAAAAACTGTGCAAGTTTTGTTTATTCTCATTTTCTAGCCTATTTGTTTTATTACTGACAGTTTCAGTTTTGACAAACTAAGGGACTTTTCACATACATCATTTTCTTAGGCGGAGTAGTTTGTTGACTATAATTTTAGTTCCACTGA